TTCGCTAGCCTCTTATCTTGTTTCAAATACTGTTGAAATTACTCGCATTTTCTATATAATAAATTTAATTACTTTGACAAGTTTGATAATAATACTCGATCGTTCAATGCTTCTATGCCTGTTTCGCTCGAATCAAATATCATTTCAAATTACTCGCAATTTGTATAATAAATTTGACTATTAATAGAACTATCACTCATAATGAAAACACCATAGTACACATAAACCTCGTTGACTTGTACCGGTTGAAGATTCATTTCATTTAACCAATAGAGTTGATACTCCAGTCCAGATATACTAGATCGATGACGGATTGAACAAAATCCCAGAATGGCCAAGCTTTTAAATGGTGTCATTGGGTTTTGAGTTGGTTTAGCGGTGAGATTGTATTATTATATATTAAAAAAGGAGGAAGTTCATTAAGTGTCAGATAGCTTGTAGAAACGAATTGGCACGCAGAAACACCCACGCTACGAACACAAAACGGCATGATCGTTGATAATCTCAACAATGCATTATGAATTAGAGGTAGCCTGCACCTCTACTTGCGACCGAACATTTGTACCTGCGACAATAGCTTCGGGCTTTATTTTCGTAAAGGTATATATTTAAGGTTGGGAATGCAATTTTGTTTAGGACTAGTGTCAGAGTTAGGGTTACATATTTACCATACTCTAGGATGAAATAACTATAGAGAGGGTACAGTTCCTCTATAACATGTATATATCGCGTTCGTTCATCTTGTGAAAAGCCGGTAGAGATTTATCACTCAATTTCTATTTTTCTTTTGTTGCACAAATATTTTACAAATAGGATCATTCTCAGAACGTCATGGGGTGATACTTGGCGAACTGTGGACTTCATGTATTGAGTACTCTACAAACAGGCGGTGCCCTGTTGCAGTTTATAGATACAATAAATAAAAAAAATGACAAAAGAAAGAACTTTTCTGGTCGGTCGCATCCCGCATATCACAAGCACACACCTTCATTGTACCATTGGCTATGACGTTGACATATTTCTATAAGGTTGACTGCACTAACTATATGAATATTTCAAAAGATATTTCTCTCTTTGGGTGAACTTTGGTTTCGGAAAGAGGAATAGGAAAATATAATGTACCATACACAATCTGAAAAGACGTCGCACACCCATAGTTTCCTGTACGTTAGTTTGTATACTCGCCCTTGCTCAGAGCGTGGATCGGACTACTCAATGTTAAAACTATTACCATGATTGTGTGAATGGATTTGAATTGATTATCCACCATGGATTCTCTGATTTTATTCTGGACTCAAGTCATCTTATTAGTTTCAACAGGATCGGGAATATTAGGACAATCTCAAGGTAAAATGATATCATTATTATAATATGAACAGTATATTCGAGACTTGCAATACACTATATGGCCACGCCTTTGGTAAATTGACGTGTATAAATGATAGCTACTTCAAAAATGTGAACACACTCTTGAGGATTGGATACAATTTTACTCATAGTGGGTAGAAAAGGGAATGTGTTTGTTTGTTTGAAAAGACTTAACTTAACAGTTGGTAAAATGTAGCTAAAATAGGGTAAGATTTACCAAGTGTTAGATAAAATGTTACCCAACAAATATGCATGCTCCCTGTTCTTTTTTTTACCCAACACGAGTAAATTATCCAACTCCTTTTTGGAGTGTTAAACGTCAATAGATCTAAGGATCACAAAGTATAAAGTTTACACAACGAACTAATATATTTTGATATTGTCTCATATACTCTACCAACACAATTATGGGTTGGTATATTTTGATCAATTACAATTCAATCAAGTGATAGACATAGTTATGCAACAAGAGTAGAAGAACAATAGTGTCGTGGATATGTATGTTGAGGTAGAGCAATGTTATGTACATTAAAATGTACAAATATAATGAATTGTATTCATTTATACCATTCCCTCATGCATGCATGCATATTAGGCATATTCTTCGAATTTAGAATGAAAGAAATGGAAATGTTCAATTTGACTCTACAGTGACAGTGTTAAATATTCTTGATAATGTTTTACATAGGTCATTTATATCTTGTACTTTACCTTAAAAACAGACTATACAAAAGTCAAATTTCATGTTGGTATTCTATACTGTGAAAGATAGATTTGAGCAATTCCATAAGTAAGTAAACCTTTAGGTCAACATTTCAGAATTGACTGAATTTAATATATACGGTCTCATTTGACAGCTATAACATTGCAGTTTATGAAACTTAAAGATAAACTTGAGTTCTGGTAATGCGATTGCATTGTGAAAGAAAAGGTGTGGAATGGATCAGAAAAGTTGATCATGTAGCATGTAAGTAATGGTGTGTAATGCAAGGTTCTGGAGTCATCAAAATCATCAAAAATTTGGCAGAGTCTTGGTAAAGTAACAATCACTTACACAGAAAGATATATATGGGACAACACACATGGTGTTGGGGCTAGTACTACCAGGGCTTGTAAACACCTCCCTGGTACTACCCTGATTTCCTTATCTTTCTATGCTCATTCCTCAGCCAGTATACATTTTATTCCAAAATTGTTTGGCACATGACATTTATTTGTAATCTTGAACATTCAGTGTAAGTTTTGTTAGATTCTGTGAGAATTCATTTTCTTTTTTTTACCAGAACTCAAGTTTATCTTTAACCGTAAATTTCATGGATTGTTATTACTTGTAGCGACTAATCCATGATATTCTGTTAATTATTTCCGCTATTCTAAACCTGAATTTCATAGATCCCTAATACCATAAGTAAATTCAAAGCTCAAGTAGCTTCGAAACCTCTGAAGCCTCTCGACATATTATTATTTCACATGTAAATCAGAAATATCATTTAAGTGAGAAGATTATATTTTTAAGGTTCTTGAAATCAAAAGTATTAGTGATGTAAACATAAAGTTATTCATATTGTATGTCTTTGGACTTTTGATGTGTATTTTTAAGAAGTCTAGTTTAACAGTCTTTAGCTTCATGTAAGTATATGTATTTGTAGATTTTTAAAAGAAGTAATGATCTACCTATTCTACTAAAGTTGTAAACAGATTGAGTCTAATTATAAGACCTTAACGATTCTCATTAAGCAGCTTTTCAACAAGATATTTTTTCACGAAAAATCTTCGAGTTTGAACCACTATAGAAATTTCTTGATTTTCCCGCGATGCGAAAGTTCCTATAGGGGACATGGATTTTGAGAGTGAATAAAGTTTATATTGTTTTCTGTTACAATTGTAATGGTCATAGACATCCATGAAGTTTGTTTGGTTGTTTGTTAGTTCGTGAAATCAACAGGGATAATTTACTACAAATAAACATTTCATGGTCAGACGTTCAGAGTCTGGAAAGGTGCCAAATGTTGTCACCTACAGTTCATAGTCTGACACAAAAGCTCTCAAAAAATTCAATTTTATTTGAAATAATTCAAACCAAACATAAATTATTTTAGGTTTATGAACAAATAATTTGTAGATTTTGTGCATGTGTTTTTTAAAGGGGATCAGATATACAGGATTTGTTCAGTTTGAATAATGCACATCCGACCCCTCATAATGCTCGGCCGACTCCCCAAAAGATCAATCCCTATCTGAATTTTATCAATATCGATCAAAATCTTTCCTACACCAATTAAAAAGTGATATCTTAGATACCAATTCTTTCAGAAAATTTAAGACTTAGCTTATAATATCACAGAGATTTTAACTTTAACTTAAAGATAAAGTTGAGTTCTGGTTATGCGATTGCATTTTGATAGAACAGTGTGGAATCGATCATAAACAAGTTTATCATGTAGCTTATACGCATATGTGTGTATTACAAGGCTCTGAAATCATTAAAATGATAAGAAATTTGGCCCAGTTTTGGTATAAGTAACAAGCACTGAAAAGATGAATATGGGACTACACAAACGTGTGGCATAAAAATGTGGTCCTCATTTTTAAGCTGTTTCATGTCATATTTAGAATATGGTGGCATTTGAAGAGCAATGCTTTCCAGGTAACATTTTTTCTTATATATTCTTCCATATTTGCATAATAAAAATAAAAACGCTCACAAATTATTTTTCACCTCTCTCCATAACTCAACCTTCTCTTTAAGTTGAAAGGTCTGAAAACAGTTTTCTCTGATGTAAGTCCGACCCCCACATTTATGCCTGTATTTTCTTCACTTTAAGTTATTGGTTATTTTTGCTATGATGGAGAGATAACCCAACTCAGATGTCAAAGTGAAATGGATGTTTTTCCTTCAAATCAAACAAGGTGTCGCTCCACCAATTGTATGCATTTACGTCCAACCTTCATGAAGTAAATAATCACCGAATAGGCCATTTTCGCAATGTAACCGAAATGATACATAAGTGTCACGATATGAATTATTTCATTCACCTGATACGAATAATAATATTTCAATAGTCAGAATGCAAATTGCATAGGCTACATTAGGTTTTGCTATGTAGTACAAGCCATAAGTACTGTCCTACCTAGCAACAACTAAATACACACAATTTGCATTGTAAATATTGCGATATACAATTTCTCGTAATTGGTGAACAAAATAATTCTTATAGAGGCCCTTCACAAAGGCATATGCACGAATTTGGTTAGATTACGAAAATGTCCTATTAAATGAACACAACACCCGAGGTCGTGTGTTCGATCCTCGCTGTGTGATTACCTCCTGAGACAAGATGTTCAACCCATATCTGACCTCTCGACCCAAATGCGTATCTGGCAATGCTGGGTTCATAATAATTGCAGGGTTCGTAGAAGGAGCAGTATAGTAACACTAGAGTGACTACCTCGGTTATTGATAAGACCACATTATTATTATACCAATGAATTATTAGAATCAAACTTAGTCTACTGACGAGAGATGTTCGAGAGGGAATTACATTGTTCTGAGTTAATTTCCTTATTCTTCCGATATAGGGCTGATTGGTAGTGTTTAAAACCATTTACGTATTTTGATTTTCTTTGTGTAGGTGATGTACGACTGGTTGATGGTAGTTCCACTCTGGAAGGAAGGGTAGAGGTGTATTATGATAACCTTTGGGGTACGATATGCAACCGAGGATGGGATAGTACAGACAGTGGTGTAGTCTGCAGACAGCTAGGTTTGTATGAAAACTCGTCATGTTTACAATCCAATAGGCTGAACAATAGTAATTGAGAAGCAATAATGTAAATATATGTAAATAAAAATATAAAATATATTTTCTTTTTAATACAATATATTTGCTTTTGAACCAGACAAAATAAGGAAACCAACACAACTTCCTAGAAATCACTTTCTCTGAAACTACTCTGAAAATTAGAGACTGAAAATACTCTGAAATATGAGACTGTGACTGTGACTAAAAGGACGTGAGTCTCGACTACTATAGCTCAATTTCTTCATATTAATATTCTTCAATCTTCGTCTTCTTTTACCTTTTTTTTTCTCTTCTCCTTTTTTCTTCTTTAACCTTTTTCTTCTTCATCTTCTCATCCTATTTGTTCTTCTTTCTTTCAATCTTTAAAACAAATGTCAAGTAGTTATAAATGTGTTGTAATGACATGGTTGTCATCCTTTATTTCCTGTTCAGTTTTTTTTTCTTACTTTTATAATTCTTGCAATGTTATTGTTCATATATGTCACCTTTTATTTGTACAGTGATATTTCTAGTATTTCATTGTAACGTGTTTCTTCTTTTGTTGTTGCTCATTTGTTTGTATGTTGCAGCAGGGCTCCATTGTAAAGCAGTTTTTAAGAGAAAGACCTACACTGCTTTTAAAAGAAGACATGAATATATAAATAAATAAATAACTATATCACAATGTTTAAAAAAAAATTCTGAATCATTATTTGTGCAACATCATTTGGAATGGGTAGTTCGTCGTAGCTGAAATGATGTTAAATAGTACATTTAATTACAGATATAGTCAAATGATATTGTGTTAGACTGGGCCTGAGACAACCATTACATTTCTAACCCATCATCCTTAAATTACATACATGTATTACTGTATGTCTCGGTTATTTTATAAATTTGTCTTTCATTGATGTTGAATTGTCTTTGTAATTAAGCACAAAAGTATTGAGTCGATATTCCATGTATGTGGAAGTAAAGGAATTATAGACTGTCAGAAGCATGTGTCAATATTAAACCAGGGCTCCTAAATTATGAACTCATTCAGGCCGGGTATTCCAACATTTTTCTATTGTGCTTTGTTTATTTCCATTTTGTGGAATGAACACCCTTATTGGCACAAAGGTTGTTTTACACAGGACTCCAATTTAGACTGAACAGTGGTTTTTCGTATTGTGAAATGCCCATTTTTCACGTTTAATATAGGTTTTCAAGTTTCTTTGAGTAGTCCAAGTTTCGGGCCTGGCATTCCAACACAACGTATCTGGTTAGCTGACGTACAGTGTGAATCATCCGACCGACGTCTGAACGAGTGTGTTACAGACGGCCAGTGGGGACAGACCTCTACATGCCCTCATAACAACGATGTAGGTGTTAGGTGCTCAGGTAAGTCTTCAAGCCTCATGAAATTACCTTTTATTTCCTCGATGATCTACATATCGAAACTGATAATCGACCTGTGTCAACATAATTATTTTGTATGTATGTCTTCTTTTTTTTTTTTTTTTTTTTACTCTTTAGGTTTCTTTAAAGGAGAGAAATATTTACCCCGAGTAGACCAAACGTATTATTTGTATGATTAACTCCGTAAACATAGGCGAATATTTATTCCAACACAATGATACTCAAAAAAGGTTAAATCCTGTTTACCCGTCTCGAAAAAAAAGAAAAACGTATGACTACAGTCATTGTACATGTATTTGTTTTCCTTCGTCATATTCACTTTGTTATTATTCCTTATTATTGTATTACTAGTATACGAAATAATAAATGCTATATGAAGTTCAATACAACAAAATATATGAACCGACATATTCAACATTTTCCCGATTGATGTTATATTTTACTGAGACCAGAGGCCGAGTTTAAAATTATAATTGCACGTGAGAATTCTGAATCTTGAAGTGATTACATTTCATTTAATGATACTATGCATTAATTACTTATTCTACTTGAGAGCAGTAGTAGTCCTATTTTTAACAGAAACATTAAGTCTTAATTTGTCTGAACGTAATCCATATTTATTTTTGCTCCTTTTTAGGCTTAAACGTGGGGATCGCGCCAAATTACCGAGGGTGCTACCGTTTTGAAGACAGTGCTTTATCGCACTCAGCACTTACTTTCCCGGCAAATACTATTGAGACTTGCTTACAGAGCTGTTCAATAAATTTTATGTTCGCTGGTTTATATGGAACCACTTGTGTTTGTGGAGACCAGATAAAACCTTCAGCCCAACCTGTTGATAACACTATGTGTAGAACGCCATGCCCAGGTAACTCTGCTCAGCTATGTGGTGACACTGAAGTCAACATGGAAGTCCTATCTGTTTATTCTGGTGAGTGTTTTCATATCTCAAAATAAAGAAATAATTATAATAAATAAAATGTCTGAATTGTAGGCTAAAACAATAATGAAGATAATATCTTTCGGATGGTGACGAATAAAGGTCGGTCTCCTGAAGTAAATAATCATATCTGATTGATACACGTCTGTAAAAACCCAATTACACACACACACGCACACACGCACACACACATACCAAATTTAACGAATATTTAACATTCCAGGCTTAGGTCTACAGTTTTAAAACCTCGGATTTGGTTTCACAATTTTTGTCATCTTCTTTCAAATAACTGTTCTTATCAAAAACCTATTTAACTGTTCGTATTGTCATAGCAGTCGTCTTTTGATAGTTAGAAGGGTGTTAACTGATATCACTCTAGATAGAGTTAATGCCCTTTTGATTCCCAACAGATCTCACACATTCAAAACAATTTCTGATTACAAAGGTTTAATGAAAGATCTATTAAGGCTGAACATGACAGGCTGACAATGACAAATCTAGTATGGTGTTTCATTTGATGTTTTTTTAACTTTTATTTTCATTTAAAATAATCTAGTGTCTGTTGGCGATGGCTACGTCTCATCACCATGGTTTCCTGGTAATTACGTCCTATCAGGTACTGATACATCCCGACCAGACAACCTAATCTCCAGAACCGATGTCACTGCGTCATCGGGGATGCTCTTGATTCGAATCCTGGCTTTCGACCTAGCTCCTGGAGACACACTGAGTGTGGAGGTAGGCGGTATGACCATCAACCCTACAACATTTGGTGAAACCGTGATGTCTGGACTACCAGAGACGACACTGGTTTTGACTGCGACGTTGACGAGGGCTGTGAACTCGGCTGGATCATCGGGATACATTATCACCTTTACCAGTGAGTTAGCCCCCTATTGCCGAAAACAAAATCAACGTTTGGTGTTTTTAACGCTTTCAATTGACAAAAAAAGGCAATTTTTTATACAAGATTGATCTTTTTTCTTCACTTGATATAAAGGAAGTAATTTCTAAAGACAATTACAGATGACCTTCAGTTTTTAGTCCCTTCCGAGGGAATAAGATGAGTAGGCTTTTTAGTTGGTCCTGAAACACAGGTTCCTATCCCTAAGACATTCGCTCTATCGAGTCTACCTCCCTTTATTTGCGTAAATTAAAAGACGTTACTATAACATTTTTTTAAAGAACAAAGTAAAATTAGAGAGTTGGTGTAATCAACAAGTGGTTAATTCATATGACTTTTAATCCAAGGGTTGGGGGCCCGGGTTCAAATCCCAGCTAGGCACAAACGTCAATTGGCAAGACATAAATCCACTTTTACCCCTACCCCTTCCCTTGTTGGTGTACATTGTTAACCTGGCAATTATAATTATTATCATTACTATTATGCATTATCTTTATTAGTAGTATTATTATTATAAGTAGTAGTAGTGGTAAGAGTAGTATTATTAGTATCAGTATTAGTAGTAAGCCTATCATTAATGTTGTTATTTTTATCATTATATTCTTAATTTTTATGATCATTATTATCATCATCATCATCATTATTATCATTATACAGTAGATCCAACCACAACGATGCCTCAAACTACGCCGACTATATCAACCACCCCGACGACTTATCAACCAGAGATGACCTCATCCGCTGTGCTAGCGACCCCTCCTCCTTCCCCAAGTGTATCCACAGACCCTGCAATGACTACGACCCCTGTCATCACAACTGTAAAGACATGTAAGCATTATGCCCACCGCACACCAGGCGTCAGCTTGATTGCGTTATTACCCGAGACTATAAAAATAATCAGCACATACACTTTGTTAATTCAACACATTGTTTGCCCTGCTCATTTTTCTAATTGCTTCTCCCAATGATCATGAAGATCTTACTTTCACGTTGCACATCAAGGACATCACCAATCACTGACGCAGTTCTACGCCAGTACATTGACGTCTCGTGTGCGATGGGCGTTAGAGGGCCTTTGATATCAAACATCCGGTAAAGCTGCAAACCGCTTTTCCTGTTATTTCTCGAATTAATGCATGAATGTCTGATACTCATTTCTTACTCTCTATTTCATTACACTGCTCATTTAGCCAGTTGTCTTTGGTTTCGTTATACTTCTTTCGGATTTGTTTCTCTAGGTATTCATAGGCCTCTCCTCTCGCTCCTTCGCCATTAATATTAGTATTTTGGAGGTTATCAATTTCTTTTTCTTCTTCCTGTTCTTTTTCGTAAGAGTCTTATAAGCTACAGTGGAGACAGCTTCAGAAAACCTTGGTCATTGAGACTCATTTCCTACCTCTACCTGTAACATGCGTAACCTATTTTGCACTGCCACTCTGTACTTTTCCGTCACTTCGTTGCCCTCTCTTTAATAATAATAATAATAATAATAATAATAGCTCACATTTATAACGCGCCTCATACTTTGTTTCTAGGCGCAGCACAAATTAAAAAGTCAAGTTCTAATCGCTGGCTTGCCTCCGTCTTCTTCAGCTTTCTTAGCATGACATGCATGTGACTGATGAGGAGAACATGGTCGATTTGGCATTCAGCTCCGTGATATCCTTTAGCTTGTCGTATGGAATTTCGGAATGTCCTGTTCATGTTCAGTCGTCTCGGATTTTGAAAAAACATGTTTGTGTAAATGGTGACTTGTAAACTAATTTATCTCTATACTCTTTCAGTACTGGTTCCAAGTCCATGAGGTCCTACTGTGCTATCAGCCGTGGTGAAAGTTATTACCTGTGACTTACAATGCTTCATGGCCTTTTCCAAATCCTTGTAGTATTTTCCTCATTTCATCTTTCTTCATTGCAATGACGACCTTCGTCATTGCCTTGTTTTCGTTCACATTCTGCCCCATTAATATTCTCCTTTTCCTTTTCCTTTTCCTTATCCTTATCCTTATCGTCAGGAAATCGCATTCGTTTTGCACGTAGTGTTTGTGATTCCTAGTTAGGTGCTTTTCTCATGTCCTTTTCCTTTCAAATTTCATAGGCATAGTCTCTAACATCTCATCAAGGTCACTACATTCTTCGATTTTGGAAATCACTCATGCATGACCGTCCAGGCGCCATTTTGTCCGTTTCTGGTCCATTTTAAGGCCTTTATATCTTCCTTCCTATCTCCACTATCCTAGATTCTACAAACTTCTAACAAATTCCTCTAGATAGTCTGAGAGATGTTCTTTCATCTGCGACAAATGACTTGACCTTCAAAATGCCATCTTCATACTCGAAATTCAAATCTAAAACCGACTCCGTCAAAAATCTCTCAAGTTCTTGAAAAATGGACCCCTAAATAATCTAAAACTGCCATAACTTTCTCATATAAATTCCGTTTTGTATTTAAATCTCACAGTATCTTTATCTCATAATTGCACATAGCCATGCCAAATTTCACGCTCCAATGGCTTTGCACAACATAAATAGCGCCCTCTAAAGTTCTGGGAATTGGCTTTCTCTCTGTGGCCGTATCTCCATAATGGCTTGGCAAACCCGTACCCTTTTTTGGATTTAGATACTTGAAGATATGCCCTTTCCAGCCATATACAAAATTATATACCCTATCACTGACCAAATTTGAGAAAATTGCCCTCCAAATTCGCCATTTTCAAGAAAATTCCGAAATAACTTCAACTTGCTCTAAAATGGCGATCTTTATACCTACATCCATGAAACTTGGCAGACATATGTATCCATATACGTGACAACTGTTTACTAAGTTTGGTAAAATTCGAATATGTCAGCGCAAAGTAATCGCCAAAAATGATGAATTTACTATGCATTACGTAATAGCGCGTTTAATGCGTGCAATACATTGCGCGCAGATAACAATGGTGTCAAACTGACCGCAATGAAGTGCCCTTTCGAATGATACCAAGTATGATATATGTTCATACAGAAAATTGTGAGTAAATCGCATTTTAACAAAGGTCACTACACGAATTCCGCCGAGTTTCCGCCCGAATATAACACGTATCGGCTATGACGTAATTTTTCAGACTGCTTTTCGCCCCTTAAACGTCCTTTTTTTTCCTTGAAAATTTGCAGTGACATGCCGAGTTCCAATACGCAGGGCACCTCTTGGCCGGATTTTTAAAATTGGTCAAGGGGGCCATTTAAGACGCCATTTTGTCCTATAAATCTATTTTACATCACGTGTTTCGATAGGATTATCATAGAAAAAAAAGAGTGGTTTACGATAACAACCATGAAATTTTCTTTCTAATGATACCAAATACGGCCCATAAAAAGACATAAAGAGAGAGAAAAAAAACAATTTAACTCCGGTCGTATTACAGATCCTGTACGTTTTTCGCCCATGCATTACACGCATTGTCTATGGGGCATATCGGGTTCACGCTTTTGGCCCCCAGAACGATCTTGATTGCAATGACGAACATGCACCAAATCCCATTGGTTTTTGCACGCAGTGCTCGCGAGCCCTTTCTAGGTTCTTTCCCCTATCCCAATTTCTTTCAAACTTCGTAGGCATAGTCACTACCATCCCATCAAGGTCACTGTTGAGGCCTTTCTTTCGCACTATCTATCTCCAATATCACAGAAGCTACAGACTTCGTACAAATTGCTCTGGATAGTCCGAGAGAAGCTCTTTCGTTTGACTTATCGAAACATGGCGTCATTGCACGCACATCGTTGGGACACGATTGCATTTCTAGTTTCCAAATTTCATTTGTTACTTTGTAAACCCAATTTGGGAGGACATTGCCCTCTGACTTATGCCAGGCACTGCCACCCCTATATATGTGTCAACAAGTGTCAGCATAATGGCTTCAATGTCCCTGTACCTGGTAATGACCAGTGACTCACTCTCCCTTCCCAGTATTGGTATATAGTACCCTCTTTGTTTTATCCTGCCTCCCAAGAAGGATGAAAACAACATCATACTCTCTAACTTTCTTCACCACTACACTTCTCATAATTCTTCGATGAAGTAACACGTCAATATGAGAATGTCACCTCTACTTCTACTATTTGCTTCATGCATACACAAGGAGCAAATCCATCTTCAATTTTAACCTCCTGCATTTCACTTGGAGAATTCTCTTCCGTGCCTATCACCTCTTGTATGGCACATCAACTCTTTATCCTTCCGTCTTCAAAGGACTGGCAGTCTTGCAGTGGAACGCTTAAATCAGGATCCGACATGGCTCCTGATTCTCCGCTGGGAGCTGCTAGTTTCTTCTTCACACACGAGCTCGATTCACTGTAGCTCGCCTGAACTTTCATCAACGAGTCCATCTCACTGCAACTCGGATGATTTCACTTTCACAAAGTCCGGCTCATCGATCCAGCATCGAGCGACTCACTGCTCTTCACGATCACCACTATACCGGCTTTGATGTCTACATTTCAACCTGGGCCTCCGACATCGAGCGACTCACTGCCTCGTCGTCGAGTGCCACATCTCTTCTCTTTTCTTCTCGCCCGAGCGCTACATTCATCATCATCATGAGCGTCGGCATCGACATCGCGTTCTTCTCGGCTCTTCAGCCACGTCAACGAAGTCGCGTTTCCATCATCAAGCCTCCGCACAATCATCGCGTGAGCCCCTTTCTTCGTTCCATCCGTCATCATCTTCATTGACTTTCGACGTCATTTCTACCATTGTCGTAAGCTATATTCATTCACTGCATTTATTCATGTCCATCTCATTACATGACCATTTAAACTCCGTGCAATATCCACGATCCTCATTCTGAATCATTTATTTGCTTGCATGACTACACTTTGCAAGTGTTGTGTCTGCAAATCAGTACCCAATAAAATAACGAAAAGGGAATACTTTTTATCATGTATTTTATTGCCAGTGCAACCTTGTTTCCTCGTAGTTAAATTAAAAAGAGAGTTATGTTGTGTGATCAGTGAACACGCCTTTACAATTTCCATTCGCAATTCATCTACACACTAATAATTCCATATCCTCATAGAATTTGTCTACATCTTCCTCTGAATGAGCCGTAGTATAGGTGCGTAAACCTGACTAATATACACATTGAAAGGTTGACCCTTCAACTCAACAAACAGCACTCTATCTGATAGAGACCAAAAGCCAAGTAAACATCTTGATGTAGCAATCGAGAATTTGATATAGCGCAGCCTCCGGCCGCTACCGTTCGCCACACTTCTGATTTAGGACAAGTAGCAGTAGATAACTCATTACTCCGCAGGCTTGACTGTATTTAAAACAGAGCATCCAATATATCTAATATCAGTAGGTACCTTGTCAATGAATACAAATAACATAATCGAGCTCTAATCGAGAACTAATTATCCAATTAGCCCCTACTCGAATGTCATGTATTTTCATCAAAGACGGCGGATGCTTTCAATAGATGTAGAAGACATTTTGTATTTCCTCGTGCAAGTTAAGGATAATGGTGAGTTCTGGTCATCCGAGTGCATTGTGAAAGAAAAAGTGTGTAATGGATCAGAAAAATTTGATCATGTAGCATGTAAGCATTGGTGTGTACTGCAGAGTTCTGGAGTCATCAAAATCATGATAAATTTGGCCCACTCTTGGTAAAGTAACGAGCACTGTACACAGAAAGATGTATATGGAACTACACAAATGGTGTCGGGGCTACTAACCTTGATTTCCTAATCTTTCTATGCTCATTACTCAGCCAGTATACATTTTCTACCAAAATTGTTTGGCAAATAACATTTATTTGTAATCTTGAACATCCAGTGTAATTTTCGTTTGATTCTGTGAAAATTCATTTTCTTTTTTTTTACCAGAACTCACCTTTATCTTTAAGGGCTTTTATATAACGCAAGAGAAACAAACTCATTTTTTGTATCTTGATAATTGTTCTATTTACTAGAGGAAAATAAGGATCGTACTGTAGAGAGTGAACAAAAATATAACACATTCGCATCCAACCGGGTACCCAG